AAAATATGATACACCATTAAGAGGGAAAAAATTAATGTTTTTAGGATATCTAACCAGAACATTATAATCGCCAGAATATCTGCATCCACTATGAAACCACAGCAACAAAGAACAAAGGCCGACTTTCCATCTCCACCTGAGATGCCGTGTGTTGATTGAAAAGTTATTGCTCATTATGTGTATCTATATTTCTTAGGTAAGAAGAAACATCAGAAGTGGCTGAGGAAGCCAAGAAGCAGATCCTCTAGGGATAAGTTGACTTGTGCTGGATAACTTTTTTTTTTTTTAATTGGAAAGGCAGATATACAGAGAGGAGAGACAGAGAGGAAGATCTTCCATCCAATGACTCACTCCCCAGGCAGCCGCAACGGCTGGAGCTGAGCCAATCCCAAGCCAGGAGCCTCTTCTGGGTCTCCCACACAGGTGCAGGAGCCCAAAGCTTTGGGCCATCCTCGACTGCTTTCCCAGGCCACAGGCAGGGAGCTGGATGGGAAGTGGGGCTGCCAGGATTAGAACTGGCGCCCATATGGGATCCCATGCTTGCAAGGCGAGGACCTTAACCGCTACGCCATCGCGCTGGGCCCTTGTGCTGGATGACTTTTAAAAATGTTTCCTGCAGGGCTGGGTGTGAACCAATGGATAGAAGATCTTTCTGTCTCTCCTTCTCTGTTAATCTGCTTTCCAATGAAAAGAAATAAACCCTTAAAAAATGTTTCTCCCTAAGTCATTAACAGTGTTTTTAATCTTAGAAGCCTCGCTTGGCTTTTATAAGCTCTCATGATTTCTTGTTCTGAATATGTATGGCTTTAGAGTATCAAGAAACCTCGCACACATTTCCACCAAGTCCACAGGTAGTTTTCCTGCAGTATTAACATCATTTTCATCATCGCTATTATCACCATCATCCTGATTCAGAACCATTTCAGGTATTTCACCACCATTCAATGAATGAACAACTGGAGCCTCATTACCAATGTTGAAAATTTCAGCATTCACTCTTTCCTGCTTTCTGATGACCCTGAAGGTATATCCTTTGCATATGCAACTAAATCAAACGTGTTTTTATTTTTACAATGGACATATGGAATCTTTCAAAGTCACCACCTTATTTATCACTAATGTACTACTGTGCCAGATGACCATATATTGTGTTACATGTCTTGGCAACTGCCTATATGGTATCCTTTCTGCAAAATTCCTTCAGGAAACCTGGGAGGCAGTAGCCATGCAGCAGTTGCTACCAACCACGGGAAAATACGGATTGCATACCCAGCTCCTGGTTTTAGCACCTGCCTGTCCTAGCGGTTGTCATCATTTGGGGAGTAATTCAGCAGATGGAAGTTTTTCTTTTTTCTTTCAAATTAATTAATTAAAAAATAAAGTGCAAAAAATGCCCATACTTATGGCTCTGTTAGAATGCTACTACTGGCATACAATTCAAGAAAGTGTTTTTGTATTTACTCTAGTCACATTGCTGAACTAATAAAGACACATTTGGGGAATTATGTGGCATAAACATCTTTGATGAGAATTTCATATGGGAAATAAGCAGAACAGTTGTGAAGGAATGATAAGATTTTTCCATTATTATCTGACTTAGCTTCTCTGCAGACAACACAAGCCACTGGTATACAATATTTGCAAAATCAATCAGAAATGAGGTTCCTGGTGATATGTGTTTTTACACAGAATAATGAACTGATAAGAAATTAATTTTTGTCTACCACACCAAGTCTACAGTTAGAACATCCCAACTGCATTAGTACATCCCAATACAACTATTCTTTTTCATTCTTCTCCTTTTTTCCTTTCCTTTTTTTTTTTTTTTTAAGATTTATACACTTATTCGAAAAGCAGTTACAGAGAGAGGGAGACAGAACAATCTTGCACCTACTGACTCATTCCTCAAATGGCAACAACAGCCACATCTGGGTCAGGCTGATGTTGAGACAGAAACTCTATCTTAGTTTCTGTAAGACTGGCAAGGGTCCAACTACTTAGGCCATTTTATGCTTTCTTAGCTGGAAGCTGGATTAGAAAAGGAATAGCCAGGACTCAAACCAGCACTCTGTGATCTAAGATGCTGGAATAATAAGTAGCAGCTTAACCCACTGAGTCACAGTAAGAATCCCTGTCCATTCCATCTTCAATTTCTATAGGAGCTGCCTCATAGGCCATAGTCAGTATCCTCCTAAGGCAATAATGCCAAAGCAACGTCACTTCAAAAAATTCGTGTTTATTTCAAAGGAAGGAAGACTGAGATCTCTCACTTGATGGGTCACTCCTTGAATGTCCACACAGCCAGAGCTGGGCCAGGCCAAAGTCAGGACCTAGAACTCAACTCAAGTCTCCCATGGGAGTAGCAGGAACTCAACTACTTGACCTGCCACTTGCTGCCTCCGAGGGTGTACGATATCAGGAACCTGGATTTGAATCTAGGCACTTCAGTGTGGATGCGGGTGACCCAAGCAGAATCTTAATTGTGCCACATGCCTGCCTGGCCTTAGCAAACTCATTAATGAACATCTCTATTGCTTCATAATCAGCAGACACGTTATTAACAATGTTTTTTAAATGCTGTCTTTCCTTTTCTCTGGTCATCTAGTGAATATTCATAGTTCTCTTCCATGTTCAGTACACAATGACAGATCTCTGCCTGTCATACCAAGTGGTATGAGTTCACTGCAAAGCTGACAGACCTAGGGCCCGGCGTGGTGGCGCAGTGGTTAAGGTCCTCGCCTTGCACGCCCGGGATCCCATATGGGCGCCGGTTCTATCCCGGCAGCCCCGCTTCCCTTCCAGCTCCCTGCCTGTGGCCCGGGAAAGAGGGCGAGGACGGCCCAAGGCTTTGGGACCCTGAACCCGCGTGGGAGACCCGGAGGAGGCTCCTGGCTTCGGATCGACATAGCATCAGCCGCTGCGCTCACTTGGGGAGTGAATCATCAGACGGAAGATCTTCTTCTCTGTCTCTCCTCTCTGTATATCTGCCTTTCCAATAAAAAAATAATAATAAAAATAAATCTTTATAAAAAAAAAACTGACAGACCCAGTATTTCCATACACAACATTCAGCTTCATATGAGCTCTTTCTGTTTTTCACTAACTTCTGTTTATCACATTCAGCAGCACAGAACTTCAACAGTTTTTCCTTCTAATGATCACCCACAGTGGCCATTCTTTTCTTAAAGCTTATTTGTATTTATGTGAAAAGCAAAGTGACAGAACAAGAGAGAGAAAGAGCAAGAGTTAGTAAGAGAGAGAGAGAGACAGAATCTTCTGTCTGGAGGTTTACTTCCTAAATGGACACATTAGCCAAGCCTGGATGAGGCCAAAGCCAGAAGTCCACCTAGGTCTCCCACATGCGTGGAAAGAACCCAGCTACTTGAGCCATCATCTTCTGTAATCTCAAGGTATGCACTGGCAGCAAAGCTGTATGAGAAGTGAAAGCAATACGTGATTCCAGGTATTTTAAGACAGGAATCTGATACTCCAAGTGTACCTAAATGCATGCAGTTGGTGTAACACCATATTGTTTAAAATGTTTTTAATTTATAAGAACCACATTCTTCTACAAGATGTTTCATACTTATGTCACTATCAATTTCTCCAACATCTTGCTTGATTTTTTTGTACAGTAGATAAACATAAGCATTTTCCCTTTTTCCTATCACTTCTATTCAAGGGGATATATTCAACAGTATCTTTACTTCACAAAGAATAAAGACAAAAACCCATAACATATCTAGGTCTTGGCCCTGTGGGGGCATCATGGGAAATCTTCCATTGACAGTCTGGCTGTTATATTACGCTTTGTTGGCCTGTTTATTGGGGAGAGAGCATGCTATCTGGGTATGCCCAGAAAACATATACCATAGTTCAGGTGGGCTGCGAAGTCCTTTTCCCCTTGGGAACACTGCATAAACTGTGTAATGTGTGGCTGCATTCTGACGGTATCTCATACAAGCGACCCAAAGTGGAATTTCTAACTTGTAACATCACGGTCAGCACTCGGTTTCAAAGGGCTGGGCATCTGACCAAGAGCTAAAAGTGCTGGTTGCAATGCCAACATTCCAGTGCTTGGGGCTGACTGAGTCCTAATTTCAGCTTTCTTCTAATGCATACCCTGGATGTAGCAGATGACAGCTCAGATAGCTAAGCCTCTGTCATCTTCATGGGGACTTGGATTGAACTCCTGGCTCCTGACATCAGTCGGTCCAGCCTTGGCCACTGTGGGCATTTGGAAAACAAACTAGCAGATGACAGCTCTCTTTGCCTAGCTGCCTGTGAAAGAAATGAGGATGAGAGTTCCAGACCTCAGATGTTCAACCTAAAGTTGCACACAATCATGTGACCACAGCTGCAAGCAAGACAGAGAGTAGTTTTTTTCCCTCTAAAACATTTATGCAAGCCCTGTGCACTGGATCTTTTCCTCGTCATTGTACTAGACGACTAGTGACCACTTTCGGTAACCAGTTTATTTTTTCCAGAATTTCAAATAAACAGTTTTTGTGTTTTACTTCTTTTGCTTAGTGTAATGAGATCTATCTGTGTAATATGCTGTATGATCTGATACTGGATTCCTTTTCATTACTTAGCAGTATTTCATGGTATTGTTATACAACAATTTATCTATGTATCAGTGGGTGAACATTTGAATTATTTCTACTTTGTGTCTACTTTGAAAATACTATTGTGAACATTTGTCCACTGATTTCTCTCTGGACATGTTCATTTCTCCTGTATAACTATTTAGAAATGTAATTTATTTAGAAAAGTCCCAAGGGGGGAGGAGTGTTTTACTTGCTTGATACTTTTGGTATTATTACATATAGGGCAATTTATACTGATATAAAGTTATTTATTAAAATCTACATAAACATTTTAAATCCTATCTCTAAAAAACCTGTTACTTTTCAAGATAATAACATTAGCTTTAAATTAGATAAGTCAGTTCAAATTTACCTTTCAATGATCTGCTCTTCCTTTAAGAATATTCTTACCTGAGATGTTCAATTTTTTCTGGAGTAACAGGTCCTTTCCCAAATACTTGGTCTATTTCTTCATATAGTTTGTTTTGAACTTCTTCAGAGGTAGACAAAAAACAGATTGCCCAGGTACACACTAAGTGAAAAATTATAACAATAACAATGAAAACAGCTAACTCCTAGCCAGCCAGAGTACAAAATAAGAAAAAAATTGGATTTTCATTTTTAAATTTTGATACAGGGAAGGGTGGGAACCTTTTTTTTTCTGCCAAGCACTATTTGGATATTTATAACATCAATCATGGGCTGTACAAAATTATCAGCTTAACAATAAGCCTGCAAAAGACTTATTCAATTCCAAGTTCCACCTGCAACTGCCTTGGCATAGCAAGAACAAATTATTTCACTCATCTTATGTAGTCCATGGATATTCTCCACCTTGAATTACAGAAGATATATAATACTACACATGCAAAACAATAAAAATCAAAAATTAAAAATTCCTTACAGGATTCATATTTCATTGAATGGACATGAATCTTATCAAAAGGAAAGTACAATCTAGAGAACATTTAAAAGATTTATTTATTTGTTTACTTATTTATTTATTTATCTATCTGAAATGCACAAAGACAGTGAGGGGGAACAAAAGAAAGACAGAGACAGAGAAAGATCTCCTACCACTTGGTTCATCCACAAATGTCTGCCTTAGCCAGGGCTGGACCAAGTTGAAAGTAGGAGCCAGGAACTCTATCTAGGTCTCCCAGTAGCTGACAGGTACCTCAGTATCTAGGCAATGATGATACACTGTCTGTCATCTGTGTCAGCAGTGAACTAGATCGGAAGTGTGAAGAGCTGGAACTAGAATCCACTCTCTGAGAGAGGATGCAGACACCCGTGGAGATGACTTCATTCACTGTGCCACAACTTGGGTCCTGGGTGCTTCCTTCTTACAACTAGCAAGTACCTAAGTCATCTAATGCACATCACCTCAGACAAAACAGTAGTAAGTTCCTTATCCAGGAGGGGATATTCCCTGCTAATATTTGTGATGAATGATCTAATTCACTCATTCTTGTTTAAAAAAATTGATTTATAGTTCACAAGTCAAACTAGAAAAGATTTAACCAGAAGTCAATATTCTACTTTTCTTTTTTTAATGGTAAATGGCCTGGATCGAGAACACCTGGGAGTTGGGTGATGCCACAGTCTCACATCCAGGTTTGGAGTCACTCGATTTGCGACAAGATACAGGCAAGGGCACTGAAAGCATCCAGTTTTCTAATGAAAAACACAATTAGAATGCCACTGGTTCATGGATTACTTCTGCTTTATTTGCCTGATTCTACTCAGTGAGGAAATAAAAATATGAAAAATTACACAAAGAACATGAAACAGAAGAAACAGTTTCCTGTAGGAATTCACTAGAAGTGTAACCATTCAGAGAATGGAGCCATCTGTATATACAATGACGCCAAAAAATATGCCTGAACAGACACTGCAGTTAACTATACCTTTTTTTTTCTGTAATAAATTTTTAAAATATGCTTACTATAATTGCTACTTGTAACTACCAATTATCTGTTTTTGAACTAAGACTGATTTAAATTTGCCTCAAAGTTAATTTTAAAAAAAACATTTGCCTGATCCACCTAAAATGCAGAGTATTATCTCTAAACTGCATAGTTACCTCATATTCAATTATTTTGGTAATTTCCTCACATTCTGAGTTCAGAAAAAAGCATGGGTAAGTGTCCCTAACCTTGACTACACGTGTTTCTTTACTGTGGCTTTTGAATGAACTACAAAATTTTTATTTCACAAAAAGCATGAAAAACTTTGTTATACACAATATGGACACACAACACAATTTTACAATATGTAGTACTACACAACTGAAAGATTCCCCACCAGTATTTGCATACAGTACTTACCTATATGCCCTACTTGACCAAATTACCACTTGAAAGTATAACTGTATAAGCTTATAAGCCTAAACACTGATTTTTTTTTTGTAGAATTCTACTAAAAAGTATGACTGGAATTAGCTTAAAACAGTGACTTCAAGCCATTTAACATTTCTTAAATACTGAATCAGACATAATTTCATAGTTGAAAGACACCTTGGAGGCTATCTAATGATAAAAACTGATTTTTAGAAAAGGAGAGAATACAAAGCTATCCAGGTGTCTCGTTTATGCCTCATGAATGGCAGAGTAAGGACTTTAAGGTTCTCTATCGTACCACTCAAAAATATGAAGATTGCCCTAGGAAATAATCTCCTGGCAAAGAAACATTCCCCTTAAAATTCCTTCTAAAACATGAAAATAAAGTTAAAATATTAATCCAGTATTGAAATGCTAAATTTTGGGTGTTTTTGAAGGCCTTGCAGAAAAAATACAGCATTTAGTGCAATTCATATTTTTAAAAGAAATGATACATTATTTTAAAAGGATTAAATATGAGACATGCAGTGGCATGGCACATTGGGTCTCCACCTATGGCACTGGCATCCTATATGGGCACTGGTTCAAGTCCCAGCTGCTCTATTTCTGCTCTAACTCCCTACTAAAGCACCTGGGAAGGCAGTAGAGAATGGCCCAAGTTCTTGGCTGCTACACACATGTGGGAGAACCAGAAGTTCCTTGCTTCTGTCTTCAGACTAGCCCAGTTCCAGCCACTGTGGCCACCTGGGAAGTGAACCAGTGGATAGAAGAGACCTCTGTCTCTCCTCTCTCTATTGTAACACTGCCTTTCAAATAAAAGCAAATAGGGCCTGGCAGCATGGTATAGTGGCTAAAGTCCTCGCCTTGAACACACTGGGATCCCATATGGGCACTGGTTCTAATCCTGGCAGCTCCATTTCCCATCCAGCTCCCTGCTTGTAGCCTGGGAAAGCAGTCGAAGATGGCCCAAGGCCTTGGGACCCTGCACCTGTGTGAAAGACCTGGAAGAAGTTCCTGGATCCTTGCTTCAGATTGGTACAGCACCGGCCGTTGCGCTCACTTGGGGAGTGAATCATTGGACGCAAGATCTTCCTCTCTGTCTCTCCTCTCTAAAAGATTTATTTATTTTTATCACAAAGGCAGATATACAGAGAGGAGAGATAGAGAGGAAGATTTCTGTCTGATGATTCACTCCCCAGGTGGCCGCAACGGCTGGAGCTGAGCCAATCCCAAGCCAGGAACCTCTTCCAGGTCTCCCACGCGGGTGCAGGGTCCCAAAGCATTGAACCATCCTCGACTGCCCTCCCAGGCCATAGGCAGGGAGCTGGATGGGAAGTGGGACTGCCAGGATTAGAACTGGCGCCCATATGGGATCCCAGTGCATTCAAGGCAAGGACCTTAACCTCTGCTCCATCACGCCAGGCCCCAAAAATAAATAAATAAATCTTAAAAAAAAATAAAAGCAAATAAATATTAAAGAAAAAGTGTGTGTGGGGGGGGTCTAGCACAGTCACATAGCTAGCTAATCTTCTACCTGCGGTGCCAACATCTTATAGGGTGCCAGTTCCAGTCCTGCCTGCTCCACTTCTAATCTAGCTACCTGCTTATGGCCTAGGAAAGTGGTAGAGGATGGCTCATGTCCTTGAGAAACCTGAAGAAGCTCCTGGCTTCATACTGCTTCAGCTCCAGCTATAGTCGCCATCTGGGGAGTGAACCAACAAATGGACAAACTTTCTGTCTCTCTCTCCTTATCTCTGTAAGTCCACCTTTTACATAAAAATAAATCTTTTTTAAAAAACAGGATCGGGCCTGGCGGCATGGCTTAGCGGCTAAAGTCCTCGCCTTGAATGTGCCCCGGGATCCCATATGGGCGCCGGTTCTAATCCCGGCAGCCCCACTTCCCATCCAGCTCCCTGCTTGTGGCCTGGGAAAGCAGTCGAGGATGGGCCAAAGCTTTGCGACCCTGCACCCGCGTGGGAGACCCAGAAGAGATTCCTGGTTCCCGGCTTCGGATCCGCATAGCATCGGCCGTTGCGGCTCACTTGGGGAGTGAATAATTGGATGGAAGATCTTCCTTTCTGTCTCTCCTCCTCTCTGTATATTTGACTTTATAATAAAAAATAAAATAAATAAATCTTTAAAAAAAACAGGATCAAATATATTATTTTTGACACATGGTTTCATAAACTCTGTTTAACCTATAAATTAGAATATCTCTGGTACACATCTGTATTCATCATTTTAAAGAGAATTCCCTGAAACAGAGAATATAAATTTTATAGACTTTAAAATGATGTCCTAATTTTTCCTTAAAGTACTTTTATCTTTCATGTCTACACAAGCTCTTTTTAGAAATACTGTAGGAATGAAGGGTACTCCACCAGTCTAAAAACCAGTAAGTAAGCTTAGAAATGTACCACACATTTTAGAATTTTAAATAAAAGTCTCCTTCAATTCCACCAAGAAAGGAGTTCTTTTAAACTGCAACTTTTGTGGCCTATATCCTCTGTTGGTAGACCTCAATTAGCAGACCGGCTCTGAATCACAGTGAAAAGCAGCAGCAGGACATGGAAAAGCTCACTGCTCGAAAGGTGTCAACAGCAGCTCCTTCTAAAGGCACTAACTAGAATTCATGATCCACAAAATGTGTCAAAAACTTTATGGCAAGATTCAGAGGTGGCATTGAGCACCTGGTAATTAAAGAAAAAGGATCTGCATGAATCAAGCCTTTAAAATGAGAATAAAAAAAGGAAGCAAGTTATAAAGAGGTCATTCTGAGAGTGTTCCTTTATATCAGAACAGCTTTATCCTCACAGATTTCATAATCTATCCAAAAATGAAATCCATATTACTTACATTTTGCAGTTACCATGCACCCGGCCAGCGAAAATATCATACCATCTTCTAAAATCTAGGAAATAGAAGTAAATTTAGAAAATGTGCAATGTAAGGTGGCCTATATTAAGCTCTACTAGATCATCTAGACTATAAAATTAGGGTCAATGCAAGAAAAAAAGTGCACAGCTTCCTTCTGATGTTTTTAATAGAAATACACATAATGCAAAACTCAACTTACTCAGTGCATTGCCTTTTGAGTGCAATAAACATTTAATACTAATGGCTGAAGACAAACATTGGCAAACTGGCTGGGTCTTCGCTTTCCAGCAGAGCCTAATGTGATAACAAAACCCTGACAAAGTGAAAAAGAGCCTGTCACTGGCTTCAGAGCCCAGTGCAGTGTATGCACCCATGCCTTCCCAGAAAATCAGTTCTGCCCTCAAGGGCTGACATGTGTGGAATGGAACAAAAGATCCCTAGAGAGAATGGGTGTGGCTATAATGAGCCCATACCTGTTCACTGCCTGATAACCCCACAAAGGCAGGGAGTGAGTGCTGGTGATAAGGCACTTACCCTGTGAACAAGCCAAGCTGCTAAAGTTGGCTAAGAGGAAGTGGCTTAGCCTGCAAAGGCTTTTACAAGTCATCCATTATTAGGATCACAAAATTCCAGCTCAAGATTTGTTTAGGGCCCGGTGCCGTGGCCTCGCGGCTAAAGTCCTCGCCTTGAATGCACCGGGATCCCATATGGGCACCGGTTCTAATCCTGGCAGCTCCACTTCCCATACAACTCCTTGTTTGTGGCCTGGGAAAGCATTCGAGGATGGTCCAAAGCATTGGGATCCTGCACCCATGTGGGAGACCCGGAAGAGGTTCCTGGTTCTCAGCTTCAGATTGGTGCAGTATCGGCTGTTGAGCTCACTTGGTGAGTGAGTCATCGGATGGAAGTGTTGTGCCGGATTTTTGAAATCCCCAGATAATCATCAAGTCTGAAGTCCAGGCTAAGGCAAAAAGGTGGCTTATTCAGGTTAGCCTAGGTACCCCAGCCACCTCCCGAGCCCAGCATGGCTGGGCGGGGGAGGGGCAGCCGCAGCTGCAGCCAAGGCTGCTAGGATCCCACAGGGAGGACAAAAAGAAGCACAAGCCAGAAGAGCGAAGAGAGCCCAAGCCCTCCAGTTCTTATACATTTCAGGCTATTAATTATACAGTCATGACTTAGCAGGCTTCTATTGGTGGGTTTGAAACAAGCAACTTTCAAAAAGTACAAATCGATGAGCTATTGGGCTGTGAATCTTATCAAATACCAGGTACCTCCTTTCTGAGGAGTGGTCTGCCTACGTGACCTGCCAGGTGTCCTGCCTGGTGTCAGGACTATCAGGCCTGAGGTTCACACAGCCCCCAGCCAAGCCATTAAGGCAGAATCACAAAAGGCAGAAAATGCCTAGGTTCTTCAGAAGATCTTCCTTTCTGTCTCTCCTCCTCTCTGTATATCTGACTTTCCAATAATTAAATAAATCTTTAAAAAAAAAGATTTGCTTATCCAAATATCAAAAATGCACAGCTGCTTCAAACAGCTAAATAACTATAAATTATCTTGTATTACTTACAAGGTACAATAAAAGAAAACTCATTCATTTTTAGAACATTTAAATTACAGTAAATTCCATACATATTTAATTATGATTGAGTGAATCATCAGATGGAATATCTTCCTCTGTCTCTCCTCCTCTCTGTATATCTGATTTTCCAATAAATAAATAAATCTTTAAAAAAAAAAGGTTTATCCAAATATCAAAAATGCACAGCTGCTTCAAACAGCTAAATAACCAGAAACTATCTTGTATTACTTACAAGGTACAATTAAAAAAAAACTCATTCAATTTTAGAACATTTAAATTACAGTAAATTCCATACGTATTTAATTATGTTTGATAAACATTTAACAGTTACATTACCTGTTGGTCATTAAGGTTCCCATGTACTAAGGAATCAATGAAAATATGTTGACTAAAGTTCCTTCCTTTTCGCTCTTTAATGATTTTCTTTAAGGTACATTCCAGCTGCAAAAATGCTTAGAGAAGACAAAAAATTAGAACACAAGCATTTGTGGAGACTGAGCTTTTCAAGAGTGAAAAGCACAGTTAATTAAGTACAGAACAAAACCTCCAAAGATAATAAAAACAAAAAAGAAAGCTACTTTATATTTTAACTCAGCTATTTCCTTTTCCATCTTCTTTTTCTTATGCTTAACAGACTTATAAAAACATGTAAGTACAATTTAGGAATAATTTAAAAAGCAAATACTTAAGACCTCACCATGCAGATCAAGAGTTGGAACCAGACCAGCACTGTGGCATAGCTATATGGGTCCCGTCTTGAGATCTGGCTGCTCCTCCCCCATCTAGATTCCAACCCTAGCTGTTGTGGGCAACTGGGGAATGAACCGGAAGACTTTGATCTCAATCTATTTCTCTCTCTCTCTCTCTTTCTATTTCTCCCTCTCTCTGTAACTCTGACTTTCAAATAAATAAATACATCTTAAGAAAAAATTGAAGAGAACTTCAAAAACATAACCCTTTTGCTGATATTATCCACCTTTTTTCAACAACTATATTCTTTCTCTTAAATCAGATATCACTTATTGAAAACAGAAGTTATGAAATAACCAGAAAATATATGAAACCAAGAAGATGTAAATAACTGACATCCACAGGTCAATAAAATTGTCCAAGAGAAAGAAGTGCATGATGGTTCAACTGGCTAATTCTCTACCTTCAAGTGGATCCGATATAGGTGCCAGTTTGTGTTCCAGCTGCTCCACTTCAGATTCAGCTCCCTGCTTATGGGCCTGAGCAAGCAGTAGAGCATGGCCTAAAGCCTTGGGACACTGCACCTCCCATGTGGGAGACCCGGAAGAAGTTCCTGGGTCCTGGCTTCAGATTGGCTCAGCTCCAGCCATTATAGCCGTATGGGGAGTGGACCAGTGGAAAGAATATCTTTCTCTCTCTGTATCTCCTTCTCTCTGTAAATCTGCCTTTCCAATAAAAATAAATAAATCTTTTAAAAAATTTTCCAAAGATCCATCCCAGGGCTCCCCTTGCCTGGCCTGTTGTATCATCAACAAAGTTGAGAAGCTATTTATCAGCTACACTCTCATTGGCTCCATGGACCCCATGCTCCCCTCGCCCTCTGCAACCTGATCACGCATTCACAGTTTTTACTGAGACTTCCTCAACTGTTGATTTTCTTAAAAGTGGAATGTCCGAGGACAGGGCTAAGTTTTTGGATCACTTCTCTTTGTCTACCGGTATTTATGACATTACATCTCTATTCAGGACTCTTTTCTGACTCTAGTCTCATGTATCTAGAAACAAAACACTTCCACTTGGATATGTGAAGCACCCAACATGCTGAGCTCTTGATCCTTTCCCCCAAAATTGGACCTTCCAACATTCCTCCTCCACTCATTTCCTAATTACATCATCTTCCAACTATGCAGACCTAAAGCCTCGGTGTTGTCCTCTCTTACATACTGCATTTATTCTGTAGCCCAGTGTTGGTGCTTTTAACTTCAAAATATAGAATTACCCTTTTTTTTTAAAAATGTGAGTAGATTGGGTCTGCTGCCTGCCTACCTGAACTAAACAACAGAATTTATCTTCCTGGCTCACTGTTATAATTCTGTAATCAGTATAGCTAGTGGTGGGCCTTTGACCAAGTGCTAAAGACACTGCTTGGGATATCTCCGTCCCAGAGCTTCAGGGTCAAAGTCTTTACCTGCTCTTGATTCCAGCTTTCTGCTGATTGCTACTCTGAGAGTTCAAGCATTTGGGTCCCTGCCACCTGCCTTGGATGATGTTCACAGCTCCTGGCTTCACCCTTGGCCTTTTCTGGCACCAGAGAAGCCAATCAGAGGTCAGAAGCTCACTCCCTCCCTCTCTCTGACACCTCTCAAATACAAAAATTTCAAAAACAGGGCCTGACGTGGTGGCCTAGCAGCTAAAGTCCTCGCCTTGCATGCGCCAGGACCCTATATGGGCAATGGTTCTAAACCCGGCAGCCCTGCTTCCCATCCGGCTCCCTGCTGGTGGTCTGGGAAAGCAACAGAGCATGGCCCAAAGCCTTGGGACCCTGTACCCGCATGGGAGACCTGGATGATCTCCTGGCTCCTGGCTTCAGACAGGCGCAGCTCAGTCTGTAGCAGTCACTTGGGGAGTGAATCATCTTGCCCTCTGTCTCTCCTCTCTACATTTTTGACTTTGCAATAAAAATAAATAAATCTTAAAAAAATTTTCAAAAACATAAAGGTAATGAAAACTAGATAACAGGAGATGTATAGATTAAGCCTTTTTACTTCTGTTAGGCGTAACTTTAAGCAAAACTCTTCATGTCCTGTGCATAGAACATAGCCTAGCATTTAAGTCTCAATGAATATCTGCTGAAAGAACAAAGACTGAGAATTTTGTGAAGCAACACTATTATAAATGGAAAAGTAAATTAATTATTCCAGTGTAGCCTATGTATTTTAATTTTCCATTACCATTTCCAAGAAAGAAACCAAAACAGCTTAAAAAGAAAGTATTAAAGCATTACCATCCCACAGACAGAAAAGTATCATTTGAAGAAGCTATCTTAAACTCACTATTTTCCTGTGTACATTTATCAAGTGAAATCAATGTTATGCAAATTATGAAAACAATTTTACTCAGTTGTAATGGCAAGAATTTTTATTCTTGCTACAGTTTTTAAAAATTCTTTGTAATATTTAATCAGTTTCACACTGATTCCTCAGGAGCTCCTACAATGCTGAAAATAGTCCACTTTCTACTTGTAGAAATAATGCGACAAACAGAATCTTCATCAACATTTTTTCTCTTAAGATAATTTCATCCTTTACTTACGGTTTTTCACATGAATTATCAAGCTGCTTTCTTAGGATTATACCCTTAAATATTCCATAAATCCCATACTATAGATCAGTCCTTTTTATGCCCTCATTCTGTATTTAATACTAGACATTTTAAAATTAACTTATACCTCCCCCCCCCTTTTTTTTTTGGTTAAAGAAAAACGTTCATTGTAGGGAGAAAAGGCAAGTGACCGATCATCTCTCCATTCACTGGGGCAGGCATGTTTTTGTCTTTACCAACAATGAGGAGCAGCCAAACTTACCATCTTCATATTGCTTTTTCCAAGTTGTATTTTTATCAAGCGACCCATCTAGAAAGCCTTTTCCAATCTCAGTCCAAACCTGAAAGTAGAAAAATATACTATTATCCTGAATCTAGATTTTCTAAATAATATGGAACAATGTAACCTAAAAACTAAAGACCTCCCTTTTCAGCAACAAATCTGAAAATCAAGCTCTCCCTTTTAAGTGGGATGCAGTTTTTTACTTATACATAGGATGCAATATATTTTGATGATTTCTATTAACTGGAAAATTTACTCTTTAAAAGGAATAAGAATAGGGGAGAGCAAAGTGATGTAGCAGTTTACGTGTCCACCTGAAGTGCTGGCATTCCACATGGGTTCAAGTTCCAGTTGTTCTACTTCAGATTCAGCTACTTACTGATGAGCCTGGGAAAGCAGCAGAAGATGGTCCAAGTCCTTGAGCCCCTGCATCCACGTAGTAAACCTACATGCTCCGAGCTCCCAGCTTTGGACCAGCCCAGCTTTGGATATTGCAACCATCTGGGGAGTGGGTCAGCAGATAGAAAACTGTCTCTCCCTTTTTCTATAAATATGCTTTTCAAATAAAAATAAATATTTTTAATGGAATAGGAATAGAAAGGAAAAACAACACAATAGTTAATCCTCACTTTATTATAATGAAAAAAGTAGCTAAATAAATAAAATTTTATTTTGTCTATGATATTAGCAATGGCAAAGGTGCAGAAAAAAATTAAAAATTAGGAGTCCACACTTGATAAGCAGTTGCTTGAGACATTTGCATTTCATGTAAGGTACCAGCTATTGAGTCTTAGCTGGTCCACTTCTGACCCAGCTCCCTGATTATGTCCCTGGGAAAGCAATAAAAGCTGGATGAGGAGTAGGGTCCCTGTCCCCTGTGTAGGAGACTCAGACTGAGTTTCTGATTTTGGGTTTGGCCTGGCCCAATCATGACTGTTGAGGCCAACAGAGAATTAACTAGCAGATGGAAAAATCTCTCTCATCTGCTTTTCCCTCTCTGTCACTTTGCATTTCAAATAGATAAATATTTCAAAATGGGTTGAAGGTTTGGTGATGATAAGCAGTAAGTCAGGGCTTCATTACTATAAAAGTGGGTCAGAAGCACCCCCCCAAAATCATTAAATGTAATTCAAACATTCTCAAAGAACTTGAAGGAAACAACATATATTGATCAATGGCTAAATATCTGAAAAACAATACTTAAAAGTCTTTAACTCCTAACTTAAGAAAGAAACATTTCAAGGCACTTACATGTAAAAACTTAAACTGCTCAAAATACGATATATACATAGAGCAAATATTCATATTAGAAATATCCTGGGGGTCTGGTGTGATAGTGGTTAAACCCTCACCTTGCATCCACTGGGGTCCCCTGTAGGTGCCGGTTCATATCCCAGCTGCTCCATTTGATATCCAGCTCCCTGCTTGTGGCCTGGGAAAGCAGTCAAGCACGGCCCAAATCCTTGGGATCCTGCACCTCCCACATGAGAAACCCAGAAGAAGCTCTTGGCTCCTGGCTTCAGATCAACAGCTCTGACCACTGCAGCCACTTGGGGAGTGAACCAGCAAAAGCAAGATCTTTCTCTCTGTATATCTGGCTTTCCAATTAAAGAAAAATACCCTTAGTATTAAGCAAAATTCACAAAGAAACAAGGTAAAATGATTTAAAAATGTAGAATTACAGAGAGAAAAGGCGAAACAAAGAGGAGAAAGAGAGAGCTATCTTCTATCCACTGGTTCACTCTCCAAATGGCCACAACGGACAGAGCTAAACCAATCTGAAGCCAGGAGCCAATAGGTTCCTCCTAGTCTTTCATTCATGTAAGTACAAGGTCCAAAACACTTGGGCCATCTTCCACTGTTTTCCCAAGCCATAAACAGAGAGCTAGATCGGAAGTGGAGCTGCAAGGACATGAACTGATGACTAGACTATATGGAATACCAGAACCACAGGGCAGAATATTAGCCTGCCACACCACAGAGCCAGCACCATGAATTAAATTTTTTAATAAAAGCACAGGGGAAGGATACATAATGCTGGGGGGAAATAACTGAAATGATCTTTGGGCAGTTCAAAAATTATAACTGAATATTTTATTGAGCTGAATTGAGTGTGCAGTATACATTTTTCTCATTTTAACACTTGTGAAATCAGCACACATCTTACAGCGAATGACATTTCCCAACTGTCACCAGCCAGTTAATATTCATGATACAGTTGCCATCACCTTTGAACTTACAAACTAGTTATTATTCTGGTGACATGACTGGACAGAGGAATCCTTTGGTGTTTCAGACACTGAAAGATCATTTGAGGATGGATAGTAAGTGCTGCTTACGGTCTGAAAACTTTGAGTAATACTAAGAATACCTAACTGCTGCTAAAATACATACTTGGAATAAACTCATGAAATATCAGAAACATCCAGATTGAGGAATACTCTAACAAAATAATTGTCCTGTGTTCCAAAGATACCAAGGTGCAAAAACAAAGAAAAGTTGACAAATCCTTGTAGGTGAACGAAGTTTGATTAACAGGTCTGGTGTTGTGGCCATCATTTGCAACCCTTAATCCCTTACAGATACCAGTTCCAATCCCAGCTGCCACACTTTTGATCTAGCTCTCTGTTAACACACCTGTGGAAGCAGTAGAGGATGCCCTACGCGTTTGGTCCCCTCACTTATGAGGGATAACCAGAAGAAATACAGGTTCCTGAAATTTTAGATTAGCCCAGCTCCAGCCATGTGGCTATTTGTGTGGTGAATCACTAGATAAAGACCTCTCTCTGTATGTCATTAAAACGTAATTTTTTTCCTTCTAGAAAATTTTTTAAAAGATTTATTTATTTATTGGAAAGTCAGATGCACAGAGAGGAGGAGAGACAGAGAGGAAGATCTTCCATACGATGATTCACTCCCCAAGTGGCTGCAATGGCCAATGCTATGCCGATCTGAAGCCAGGATCCAGGCACCTCTTCTGGCTATCCCACACGGGTCCAGGGTCCCAAAGCCTTGGGCCATCCTCTATTGCTTTCCCGGGCCACAAGCAGGGAACTAGATGGGAAGTGGGGCTGCCAGAATTAGAACCAGTGCCCATATGGGATCCCAGCATGTTCAAGGCGAGGACTTTAGCTGCTAGGCCATGCTGCCAGGCATAAATTTCTTTTAGAAATTTATACACAAAAGGCCTTTAAGCACTGGGACAGGACAAGATCAGGACCCAGGAGCTTCTTCCAGGTCTCCCAGATGGCTGAGAGGAACTGAAGCATTAAGGCTATTTTCTTCTGATTTTCCCAGATTGTTAGCAGGGAGCTGTATCAGAAACAGAGCTGCAAGGACACAAATCTGTGCCCACATGGAATACGGGCATCCCAGCCAGTAACTTGCCAGCTATACCACAAGGTCAGTTCCAAAGAAGGAATGCATATATGACAGAATCTTGAGCTTTCTACTTTAGAGGCAAAAATCTGTGTTATTCAACAATTTGAAGTAGAATAATTTACAACTGCCCCCATAGACTTACTGTGCCATGATTCTTTTGGAAGCGAATGACTTCCTGTTCATCTTCAAATGTACTTCCCATGACTAACTGTGTAACGCACTTCATAGCAAAACCAAGCATATGCTGGCTGAGGGGTACATGCTGGCCCTCCGGGTAGGAAAGCCATCTACCTAACAATTCTTCTGAAAGCTGAAAGAGAACAAAAGACCACAATGATTTATCATTTATACTTGCTAAATCTTTAAAAAAATCCAGCAGACAGGCCAGTTCCACATTGTGAACGTTGGCTCCACCTGTTAACTGATTAAAACAGAACACAATCATCATCACACCAATAAAAACAGGAAATCAATGAAAAACTATAATAGACAAACCTTGAACCTAGTGAAAACTAAAAGACCTAAAACTTTTTATGTAATTAAGAAGAATAATGGTTCATTTTAGAATGTCCACAATATTGTAAAAAAAAAAGTCAGTATACGTACTACATTTGTTTCAAAATCCCTTCATTTGCTAAGTACTTATTATATCCATCATGGAATAAAAAGATCACATACTTTGGAGTCAAAATAAATGGTTTTATTTCAATATATTGAGTCCTAGATGCACTACAGCTTTAGATGATTTGCTTAGCCCAAAGCTCAGCGATCAGCAGCCAACCCTCACATAGCCCTTCCTACCTTGCTTTATTAGGGATAATAATCTCATGGTGTAATAACATGGCAAAGGTTCCATAAAGTAATAAATCAGAGGTACTTCAGACACTTTGTGGAAAACTGGAAATAAAAGTAGGAGTCTATTTTACTGCAAAAGTTTTTTCCACCCACATTTACTTTTTTCATAATACAAACATTGGTGCTATGGGGAAAAACAGCTTTTTTTGCAACAAATAAAAAAAACTTTTACATCAAAACATTATAAAAAACATTTTGGGACCAGCGCCATGCGGAAGCTGGGGGTCTCTGCCCAGGCCACCTCTAGCCCGAATAGGGGAGATGCCCAGAGCAGAGCCGCAGAAAGGGGAGGCTTGTATCCCACTCTTAAGGACTCCCGGACTCCTATCAAGGTCTATCAGAACGGGCACCAAGGACGTCATCACAATTGCCAAAGAGAACACGGGGAATTGGAATGCCTTCGGAGGACGAGAACCCAGAGGACAGACATCCCCCCTCTTTGGACAAACTACACGAGATGAAAGAAGCCCAAGTCCTTCCACATAGGAAGCAACGTCATCAGAACAACAGCCAGGAACCACGATCGGTCATCAGAATCAGAAGAACAATAAACTTCCCATCCCAGAGAAAAGGGAGAGGAGCCCTCTCCAGTCCTTGCCTAGTTCCAGCTCTGGGCCTACACCCTCTATAATGACCAACAAGGTGGCTCCGGAACCCCCTCTCCCCCAGCACACCCTCACACACACACACGCACGCACACACACACACACACACACACACACACACACAAACACACAAATAGGAATAGATAAGCAGAGAACAATAAAGAAAGATAGGTCATCAAAAACCCACACATAGGACCATGCGGCTGGGGGAGTTTGGGAGGAGTTCGGTCCTTGGGCTTGGGGGCAACTGACGCTCCCTGCAGTGTGGCAACTGTGGGGGGTGCCCCTGCCGGGTCGGACCCAATGCGGGGGACTCACGCCAAAGACACTGCCACAAGGCAGTGAACGAGTCCTCGGCCTCCCCCAGGACCCAAGAGAGCTCTTCCCTCAGGGTAAGTCCGCCATGAGGGAACTTGGGAACTGGGTGGAAATTCCTAGCTCCGCCCAGCTGCTAAGACCATGCGGCTGGGGGAGTTTGGGAGGAGTTCGGTCCTTGGGCTTGGGGGCAACTGACGCTCCCTGCAGTGTGGCAACTGTGGGGGGTGCCCCTGCCGGGTCGGACCCAATGCGGGGGACTCACGCCAAAGACACTGCCACAAGGCAGTGAACGAGTCCTCGGCCTCCCCCAGGACCCAAGAGAGCTCTTCCCTCAGGGTAAGTCCGCCATGAGGGAACTTGGGAACTGGGTGGAAATTCCTAGCTCCGCCCAGCTGCTAAGACCATGCGGCTGGGGGAGGTGGTGCCAGGCTTTGCCTGCTGGCCGCCCGGAAGGGCAAACTCTGGGGTTTTCAAGATATGTAATTGCTGCCTGGGTCACTCATGACTAAGACTAGGTTGAGTGTAGGTGCAAAGTGAATTTTCGGGTATTCTCAGTGACAGTGTCATGAAAGATACAAGCAGGCAAGGGGACCAAGACCTAGTGGTTTGGGGGAAGTGTCCAGAAGATAATTTTAGTAAGACAGATGCAACAGCTCAATTATGAATACAGAGATGGGATATTAGTATAGAACATCACTGATCACCATATACTAGCCCACACCGAAGCTATGGATGGGGCCTCTTTGGCAGTGTTGGGTACCATTGCCCGACTGAGTGTTGGAGTTGTGGAGTGGTCACATTTGGCAAATCAAGACACTCTCCAGCACACAAGAGAACTTGGGCTGGGGGTAGGCTCTGTGGGGTTGTGTGGGCCCAACCCTTTGGAATACAAATCCCCCGGGTTAGTTCCCAAGCTGGGGTTGCAATGGTCTAAGCTAGGTGTGACCACGACATCTGCCATCACTCATGGGTAAAGGAATCCACAACAGTCAGGGTAGGTCAAGGCAGCAGCACCCAAATGTGCATCTTTAAACAGGATGTGGGGTGGGCCGGGCTGCCACTGGAAGGGGACAGAAGGGGCAAGGCTGAACAAACCTTAACTCACAAGTAACAACAGAAATCAGGTTGGAGCACAGCTCATGCCAGGTAGGTCCTTGCACATACTGATCTGTGTGAGGCAGAGGCACTAAGCCACAGCATCCAAGGGGCCACGACAAGTGAGGGGCTCTGCCAAACAGAGACAGAACAACCACCGGCCTACACCTGCTCTATGGCAGGGCAGAGGCCCGGTTGGGGGAATAACAGGACACCCTAGCTGGGTTGAGTTTCCCACCAAGGAGCGCATGGGCTGGAACTGAGGCTACATTCTGATCAGGATACGATCGTAATCTCACTTGGCACAATTGTGGACTGGGATGGGAAGCACCAAGCCAGGCCAAATTCCAACACCATCTGGTGCTCTGGAGGACCGGGGAGGGTTGTGTGACAGACTAGGTTAGGTCTCAGCTCTTACTGAACCATGTGTGAGCTTGGTAGGGGTATGGAAGAGCCATGGCTGGGTTGAAATATCCAACAACAAGAACCAGCTTGGGTCGGAGGCCAGGCAGGAAAAGCCACTGTTCCTCCTAGGATAGCAGGCGAACTGAGTAGTGCTGGCTCATGGACCCACTGGTATGCGCGAAAACTGGCATTGGGACAGGTTCTGGTGGAGGAGCCCGGGCAACTCCTCTGGCAGGACACAGTCCCATGCAGGTAAGCGCAACAAGCACAATAGGGAACAACCCAAAACAGGCAATGAAAATTATCCCACTGGCATACACATGGCATGGGTTGGGGGCAGACCAGCCTGAATCTGTTCACATTACCTTCTGGTGAATCCGAGCACCAGAACAGAGTGTGGGTCGAGCCAGGTTCGGTTGCAACACATACCAGTACACAACAAGTAATGCCAAGGTGAGATGAGCCGTACCAGATGTGGCTGCAGCACACAACCAGCACATGTGACAATCAGGGAGGAGGCAAAGCCAACAGGGGAACGTGGGCACCCCTGCTGGATAACTACTTCCATTGGAAAGTGTGAATACAGATGGGGGCAGTTCAGACTAGGCAGGGCTATAGCACCTGTGGGCCTCACGGTGAGCTGACTGTTCTGACTGGTGCAAGTTAAAATTAGAGTGGGTTGAGGGGTGTTTGGGCTTAGCCACAGCATTAGCTGGCAGAGGCTGGTACTAGGAGCCAATTCTGACAAGTCAAATGCCAAAACTACCTGGAGACTGCATACTCTAGGAGTGGGTGTGGCCTAGTAGGGAAATAGTGGGCACCTCCCTCAGGGTTACCACCCTCACTGGACAGCACGAAACCCAGGCTAGGAGCAGGGGTGGCTTGACAGAAAGGCACCTGCCAGTGGGTGTATGGGCTGGATAATAGGTTGGTTGGGTTGAACCAGGCTTCAATGTCCATTGACGTGTGCGGGAGCTACTTGGGATGTGGGACAGACTGGACAAGCCTGCAGTGCATACTGGCAAGCATGGGAACCAGGTTAGGGGGCAGAACTGATAGGGGTTTTAGGGAGTCGCCTCAACTAGGCTGCAGCTCCAACTGGTTTGCATGAAGACCGAGTATGAAGTGGGTAGAATCGAGCTGGACTACAACACCCATTGGTTCACAAGGAAGACAGGGCTGGAAGCCGAACGGACCCAGTAATCGCAACGACCAGCATATGCATAGGCTGATTGGTGTGACGAACAGTGTTGGAGTCTGTACTAGCAAATTCACTCAAGAATCAGATCTGGGATCAACTCAGATGAAGTTTCTTTGGATATTTCTCCAACTGAACTGCTGATCTTGGAACCCCAACCATCAAGAGACTGTCAGCCAGTGGACTCTGAATAGGTTTCATTACGGTTGGGAAGGAGAGATTGGCAGCAATCCAGAACTGATGAACTATCAAAACTGTATGAGCAGGACCCTTGGAGCGCGCCTCATGTTTGGGATGGGGGATGGGTGGGAGGTAGGGTGGGGCTTTCCCCTTTTGTTACTCCCCTAACCCTACATACAGGGCAAAATGATAAAAAAAAAAAAAAAAAAAAAAAAAAAACCCCACACATACCCAGTTAGATAGAGCAGAAAGAACAAGTACTCATTAACAAAGTTTGAGAGATTTCTCTGCAACTCCCCCCAAACTAGTTATGCACCTCAATTATTAAAATGCCATTGAATCAGTTATAGGAGGTTCTTAACAATCTACATGTAATCTCAACATATTGATTACTCAGTATTGTGTAATTTAATTCAATAACGATATATATCGTGCTGCTGGGGCTTCTAATTGAACGGGATCATGCACTTTTGGCCCTGCCTCCGGACCAGGGAGGGTCTCTCCAAGAAGCGGAGGAACTTATCTGGAGACTAAGATGCTGGAATCTATGCTTGATATATGCTTGCGGTGAAGGTGTCTCAACTGATCTTGAACTGAGGTCTCGTAACAGGGTGGAGGAATCCACCAGGGGGGGAGGGGTAGAGAGAATCCCAG